TGAGGCAAGAGGATCATGAGTTCTAGGCCAGACTGGCCAACACAGTATGTCTCTGCCTAATATAAACAGCCAACTTTTGGGGTCAAATTAATGTTCATCCTGGGCTGGATGGATAAAGAGAATTTGGTATGCAATGTTATTCAACCTATAAAAAGAAAGTAGTCTTATCATTTGTAATAACATAGAATTAAAGAACACTATGCAAAGTGAAATATACAAAAGATAAAAAAAAATGTTGTCTATTCTCATATGTGAATCTAAAGCGATTGAGTCATATAAATACATAGAAGAATGCTGCTACAAAACAAGATAAAAGGCATAGAAGGACAATTGTTAAACGATGTGATAGATTAGACAAGAGAAAAAATTTGATTTTAAGTCAATTACACACCATGGCACCTACAGCTGATAATCAAATTCTGAATATTCCACAGTTCCTAAAACTAAATCTCTAATGTTCCCATCATAAGAAAACGTTAGAGAACTCCAACAGCTGATAAACACCTTCAGTAAAGTGGCTGGATACAAAATTAACTTTTAAAAAAAGATCAGTAGCCCTCCTTTACATAAATGATAAAAAGGGTCAGAAAGAAATTGGAAAAACAACACTCTACTAATATAAAATATCTTGGTGTAACTCTAACCAAGCAAGATAAAGTCCTGTATGACAAGAATTTCAAGTCTCTGAAGAAAGAAATTGAAGAAGCTATCAGAAGATAAAAAAAGATCACCATGCTCATAGATTGGTAAAATTAATGTAGTAAAAATGGTCATCTTACCAAAATCATTCTACAGATTCTATGCAATTCCCATCCAAATTCCAACACAATTCTTTACAGTCCTTAAAAAAGCAATTCTCAACGTCATATGAAACAACAGAAAAACATAGGATTGACTAAACAATCCTGTACAAGAATTTCTGGAGGTATCACTATCCCTGATTTCAAGCTGTCATGAAAGAAATACAAATCAAAATGATTCTGAGATTCCATCTTTTACCACTAACATCACCCATCAGAATGGCTAAGATCAAAAGCTCAAGTGACAACATATGCTGGAGAGGATGTGGAAAAAGGGAAACACTCCTTCATTGCTGGTGGGAGTCCAAACTTGCACAATCACTTGGGAAATCACATTGGCAGTTTCTCAGAAAACTGGTAATAGTTCTACCTCAAGACCCAGCTATACCACTCCTGGGCATATAGCCAAAAGATGCTCCACTATCCCAAAAGGACACTTGCAAAACTATGTTCACAACAGCTTTATTCTTTTTTTCTATTTATTTTATTTTATTAAGTACACTTTATTCACTTTGTATCCCCCCATAAGCCCCACCCTCCTCCCCCGGTCCCACCCTCCCTCCCCCTTCTTCACGCAAGCCCCTCCCCAAGTCCACTGATAAGGGAGGTCCTCCTCTCCTTCCTTCTGATCTTAGTCTATCAGATCACATCAGGAGTGGCTGCATTGTCATCTTCTGTGGCCTGGTAAGGCTGCTCTCCCTTCAGGGGGAGGTGATCAAAGAGCAGGCCAATCAGTTCATGTCAGAGACAGTCCCTCTTCCCATTACTATGAAACCCACTTGAACACTGAACTGCCATGGGCTACATCTGTGCAGGGGTTCTAGGTTATCTCCATGCCTGGTACTTGGTTGGAGTATGAGTCTCTGGAAAGACCCATGTGTTCAAATTTTCTGGTTCTTTTGCTCTCCTTGTGGGGTTCCTGTCCTCTCCAGCTCTTACTATTTCCCACTTCTTACATAAGATTCCATGCACTCTGCCCAACAGTTGGCCATAAGTCTCAGCATCTGCTTTGATAGTCTGCAGGGCAGAGCCTTTCAGAGGCCCTCTGTGGCAGGTTCCTAGGTTGTTTCCTGTTTTCTTCTTCTTCTGATGCCCATCCTCTTTGCCTTTCGGGATGGAGATTGAGCGTTGTTCTTAATAGCCAGGAGCTGGAAACAACCTAGATGTTCCTCAACTGAAGAATGGGTAAGGAAAATGTGGAATACTACTCAGCTATTAAAAACAAAAGCATCATGCAACTTGCAGGCCAATGGATGGAACTAGAAAATATCATCCTGAGGGACATAGCCCAGACCCAGAAAGATATACATGGTATGTTCTCACTTATTAGTAGATACAAGCTGTTAAGTACAGGATAACCAAACCCAAAGAAGCTAAGTAACAAGAAGGACCAAAGGAAGGATGCTTGAATCTCACTCAGTTGAAGAAATAAAGTAGACATCTAAGGTGGGTGGAGGGAAATGGGTAGGAGAAGGGGTTGGGGGGAATAGGGATGGGGATCAGGTGTGGTAAGATCAGAGGAGGGGCCAGGAAGAAGGCTGAGAGAGAGAAAGGAAATCATTGGAGGGCATCTCTGGGACTAGCTGGAGACTTTGGACAGGGGAGGTTCCAGAGACTTTATGGGGGTGACCCTAACTGAGACTCCTAGAAGCTGGGGATATGGAGCCTTAAGTAGCCACCTCTTATAGCCAGGAAGGACTTCCAGCGGAAGAAAGTAACACCAACCCACCTTCAAAACCTTTGACCCGAAATTTGTCCTGCCTACAAGATATACAGGGATAAAGATAGAGCAGAGATTGAGAGAATGCCCAGTCAATGACTGAGACCCATCCCATGGCAGAGAGCCAACCCCTAATACTCTTAACAATAATCTGCTATGCTTGCAGACAGAAGCCTAGTGTAACTGACCTCTGAGAGTGGTGATGTTTCCATCAGCTGCTGGAAACAGTTGCAGAGACCCACAGCCAAACATTAGGCCAGCTCAGGGAGTCTAGTGGAAAAATGGGAGGAAGGATTGAGGGAACCTGAGGCATCAATGACACCACAAAAAGACCTAACAAGTCAACTAGCCTGTGCCCATTGGGGACTCACAGAGACTGAACTACCAATCAAAGAGCATGCGTGGGCTGGTCCTAGGCCCCCTATACATATGTAGCAGATGGGCAGTTTGATCTTCATATGGGTCTCCTAACAACTGGAGCAGGGGTTGTCTCTGTTGCCTGCCTTTAGATCCTGTTTTCCTGCCAGACAAGCTGAGATACCTTGTCTGGCTTCAGTGGGAAAGGCTGTGCTTAGTCCTGCTGCATCTTGATGTTCCAGGATGGGTTGGTATCCATGGGAGCCTTCCCCTCTCTGAAGAGAAAGGGAGAGGAGTATGGGGGTAAGAAGGTGTGAGGGTGGGACTTAGAAGAGAGGAAGGAAAGAAAAGGAAAAAAATTTATTTGAGTGAGTGAGTGAGTATGTGTATGTGTGTGTGTGTGTGTGTGTGTGTGTGTGTGTGTGTGTGTCCCTGTCCATGTGTCCATTTTTCTGCATGTGCACAGATGGTATTGTCTGTCCGGTGTCCACATAAAACATAAGATTTTATTTGCATTTGACTAATTTAAAATCTTAAGCATTCAGTATAAATATACAACTGTGAAAGGAACCCTCAAAAATTCACTTTTCTTAAACTCATAAATAAACAAAGTTCTAAGCCAGTATTGGAGGGATGGCGAGGTGAGTGAGAGCACTTGCTTCTCATGTATGATATCCCTCATCTAGGAAGAAGACCTCAGTTTGGTTTCCCAGCACACACAGGCATCAGCACACTCACTTGCAGCCTCAGCAATGATCAAGGGAAAAGAGAGGGTGGCAAGGGCTGATTGGCCAGTCAGCCAGCCTATGTCCAAAATGATAAGCTTCAGGTTCAGTGAGACCTTTTCTCAGGAGAAGGATAGAAAGCCATAAAGGAAGGCATCTAACATTCTCCTCTGTCCTCTTCATGTGCACATACAGGTCTGTGTAACCCCTCCCTCATGTGCACACTCACAAAAAAAAAAAGTGCTAAATATTTCCTTGACATTCATTGCATCATCACTGTCAATTTATATCTGACTTTAACTTGACATTGAGGTTTTATGACTAATTGAGTGCCCTAATTAATTTCTCAGGTTTAAGTGATAAATCTTTACGCTATCTTTATTTTATCCCAGAGTGGAACTTAATCAAGAAATCATAAATCGAAGAAACTATGTTTGTAGTGCTAGCATGAACAAAATTAAATATCCATCAACAAACCAGTTAAATAAGTGATCGCGTGTGATATTGGTGAGATATTATTTTGCCATGTAAAATAAGTTTAAAAGTACCTAGATTTACAGAAAGGATTTAAAGTAAAATGTGAACTGGGAAAACATCAGAACACAATTGTTGAAACAGAATGTAGCCATGGTGATATGAATTAAAGAGAATATGTAAATAAGAAATGTTCAAAGATTATAAGTGAATTTTGAAGGAACTTTCAATATGCCTTATTTTTAGAAGATGCATACATACTGGATGTGATTTACTGCAATCTTGAAAAAGTATGAAGAGTTTATTAGACTGTAAGCTGCTTGAACTTCCGTGCTGAAGAAGTAACATGTGGCTTGTCTATTGCCACCGCACGTAAACCATGTCCATCACTGGAAGTATCTCATGTGTCCTGGCTCAAGAAGGGGTCTTGCCTTCTCAAGTCCAAGGGTGCTGTGCTGGAGCCCCTCTGTTTGATGAATAACCCATAAAACATTAAAAATAGAAGTAACGAGGCAAAAACCACTCAAATTTCACTATTCTAACATCTCTTGGTTTTTATATAACTACTTTCCGTGTTTTATGTGAATGCATATTTTCATAGCTGATATTCTAAAACCTCTTTGAATGTCCAGGTGCTTTATTTTCAAGATCTTCTTTCTGATTAATTTATAATGGTTATTTTAATTGTTGCAAAAAGGAAGCATTTTTAAGTCAAAATTACACCATCCCTTGAGTTATCGCACAACAAAGATAGGAACGTTCCTCTGACCTTGCTGTGTCTGCTGACAGTGAGCTTTATGGCTTTGTACATAAGACTGCTATCACCAAATTTCCATTTGAGTAGTAACATGATAACACAAAGAGCCAGGGGACTGGGTTTTAGATGACAGCACATCATTTAATATCCACTTATTGTTTCTACAGGGAAATTCAGGCCTGGGATTCAGTATTGCTGGAGGGACAGATAATCCTCACATTGGAGATGACCCTGGCATATTTATTACGAAGATTATTCCAGGAGGTGCGGCAGCAGAGGACGGCAGGCTCAGGTAAAGAGGGAAGCATTAATATGACTTGGGGAGTTGATCCACTGCATCAGTGAGTCACATTTCTACCTTTGGAAAATGATAATTCTAAAACACTTCTGGCCTTGGAAGGTTATCAAAGGTTTCTGCAGTGACACTGCAGATCTCTTTGTACTTGCTGAATTTCAAGTTGTATTTAATTTGTGCATGTTGATAGCTACCAAATGTGATATTGGGCCAGACACTATGAGGAGGGGTTATAAATATATCTTTGAATCTTATAGGGCTCTCTGTATACTTGGAAAGAGTGGTAATGTGAGTTAATGAGTCAGCAACACAGTATATAGAAACAACACTGTATATAGCATTAGGAAAGAATGTGCTGATACAGACATGGAGATAGAAGCTTTCTGAGAGTTTTCCATACATGTTTAGAAAGAGTCAGAGAAACCACCTCATTGGAAGATTCTAGGTCTTAGAAGATAATTGGAAATGCATTAAGTTACTGCATAAATGTAAGCTGGGACATGGAGAAAAAAACAAACTGTCTGGGAGACTAGAATGAAAGCTGCTTGCTTTGGAAGAGGACTGTGTGCTAAGTTTAAGGAAAAGCATAGAGCCAAGAGAGCACCCAGGGACAGAGCAGAAGCCACTGGGGCCAGGCTCTGCTCTTTTGAACTTAGACATAAGTAGAAGAAATAAGAGTCACCCACGTGGAACAATTAATAAATAATATAAAATACAACCAGAAATTATAAACAACCTCTAAAAGACAGAAAAACTAAGAGTTCAGAAACTTACAGAAACCATCCAAAATATATAATATATAATTAATATATAATAAATAACCCTACATGGAAATAGATCCACATAGGCAAAGAAGATTTAATTATAATTGAATCTTTTATTTTTTAAACAAAAGCTCATTTTGTTTATTTTTAAACAAAATACCATCATATCTGTGGTATTATTGTCTCAACCTGTCAAATGCTGGAGTTAAAACTGCATGCCACTCTACCTGGTTATAGCTTTATTTCATCTATTGTGTGGGTATAAATGGTTCCATGAGCGCTTGCTCAATGGGTGACCTCCACACTAATGAATAAGTAGAGAAGAAGAAAGAGGTAAGGTTGACATGGGGGATAGGGAGGATGTTAATGGCAGTAACTTGTGAGGTTTGTTAAAGACTTAAGGAAGATTCTTTAAGTAGGCTTGCTAAGATTTAGACTTTACAGTAGGAGAATGAAAAAGAAAAAGAACACATGCCTGGATACAACAAGAACAATTGGAGCCCTATAACTAAGATGAGATATCAAGAGATAGATCATTACTAAGAAAAAAATATCAGCAGATAGACAAATTCTGGCTAAAGAGACTTGGCAAGATCCTGGCTGAACGAAGGCCAGAGTGATGAAATATTAAAGGGCAGAATGTAAGGTAACTGACCAGATGTCAAGGGTGAGAGAGTTCTGCCAAATTGATTAGTCCAATGCTCGCTGAAAATGGACTGAGTGCGCCAAAGCCAAAGCTCATGGTCAAGGTCTCCAGGGAGAGAGCTAAGAGGAAACTTCCTCAGATTTGGGAAAGAAGTCAGTCTTCCAGAGAGTTAAAGCAGGTCCTGTAGGTAAAGACAGCATTGGCCAGCACGGCATCGCATGGAGAAACGTGACCTGAAAAGTAGGAGTTCAGCGTCACATCCTTGCTTAGTCTGTTCGCGTTACACAGAAATAACCTAGTCTGTATTTCGCTTTGAAAACAGGCAAAGACACCTGTTCCCTATCAGACTGCTCTGATACATCTGCATCCCGTCACTCTAGCTCCCCTATCAGTGGACTGGGGGAGGGGCATGGGAGGAGATGAGGGAGGGAGGGTGGGATTGGGAGGGAATGAAGGAGGGGGCTACAGCTGGGACACAAAGTGAATAAACTGTAATTAATAAAAAATAAAAATTTAATTAAAAAATAATGAGCTGTCTGAAGTATTATCAAAAAAGAGTAATACACAGGCTCAAGCTAACGTCATGAAAGCATTTTCTCAGTATTACAGGAGCAGTGTAGTGCATAAAGCTAGAGTGAGAGGATCCAGGGTGCACTGTTGTTTGCCACTAGTCCCAAGCATGTGGAGAGAATTGCACTATTCAAACTCTAGGAAGCCAGGGTTTCTAATATCCGTTACTAACAGAATTTGGCCTTGAAGGAGTGAAATTTCCTTCACTGATGTTTTTTCATCTGTCAGATAGTGAAGGTGCTGGCAAGTCACTAAGATGTTCTGAAGATTCAGTGAGATTACCTAAATCCAAAGCTAGGCAAGGCCCATAATAGGCACACACAAAATGCTGCCACCATCACTTCCTCTTTTCTCCTTATTTCCCTGACTACATGTCTGTCCTTTAGCCTCCTTTCACACTCTGTTTCCTTCCCAGTCTTCTTGTTCCTAGCTTCTCAAGTCTTCCTTTTTTTTTATACTATGGCATGATATTAAAGGTAACTTTAAAAATGGAAATTATAGAATTTTGGGGGTCACTCATGTCACTCATGTGATTCCAAACTGAATCCCCTTGATCTCCTTTAATTGTCTTATTGCTCTAGCAAGGACTTCAAGTACTATGTTGTACTACGTTAAAGAGGTATGAAGAGAGTGGGCAGCCTTGCCTTGTCCCTGATTTCAGTGGGATTACCTTAAGTTTCTCTCTGTTTAGTTTGATGTTGGCTATAGGCTTGCTATATATTGCCTTTACTATGTTTAGGTATGTGCCTTATATCCCTGATCACTCCAATACTTTAAACATGAATGGATGTTGGATTTTGTCAAATGCCTTTTCAGCATCTAAGGAGATTAGGATAATCATACTAAAATCTGTACACCTAAGGAAGCTAATCAAGGAGGACCCTGGGTAAGATGCTCAATCTTCATTCAGAAAGGCAAATGAGACGGACATCAGAGGAGGGGAAAAACAGGGAACAAGACAGGAGCCTATCACAGAGGGCCTCTGAAAGACTCCAGCCAGCAGGATATCAAAACATATGCTGAGATGCATAGCCAAACTTTGGGCAGAGTGCAGGGAATCTTATGAAAGAAGGGGGAGACAGAAAGACCTGGAGGGAGCAGGAGCTCCACAACGGGAACAACAGATCCAAAAAGTCTGGACAAAGTGGTTTTTTCTGAGATTGTTACTCCAACCAAGGACAATGCATGGAGACAACTTAGAACCCCTGCACAGAAGTAGCCCAAGGCAGCTCAGTTTCCAAGAGGGTTCTCCAGTAATAGGACTAGGGACCATCTCTGACATGAACTCATGGGCTGACTCTTTGATCACCTCCACCTAAGGGGGGAGCAGCCTTACCAGTTCACAGAAGAAGACAAAGAAGCCAGTCGTGATGAAACCTGATAGAATATGGTCAGATGGAAAGGGAGGAGTACCTCCCCTATCATTGGACTGGGGAAGGGGCATAGAAGAAGAGTGGGATTGGGAGGAGGGAGGGGTTACAGCTGGGAAAGAAGAGTGGGATTGGGAAGAGGGAGGGGTTACAGCTGAGATACAAAGTGAATAAACTGTAATTAATATAAAAATTTAAAAAGACTCAAAAGAATGGAAATGATATTATTTTAAGTTGCTAAATGTCTGGTGAGTAGGCAGTGATGAAATAGGAAAATGCAAATGTGCATGTATGTATCTGTGTGTATGTGTGTTTATAGACCTCTTAAAACATGAGAAACTCTTGAACATTTCTCAACATATGTTGTCATCATTCCCATGCTCACGCATACACAATCAGTGGTAGATTTCTATTTCTGTTCCGTTTAATTAATTGACTGTGCGATGGGACTCTGAAGAACTTACTAGTCAATGGTATTTTTACCTTTTAGAAGCAGTCATTACAATCTGATAGCATCCCTTGGCCTTAAAAAAATATCATGTTATAGAAAGAATATTAGTTTTCTTTCTGAGAAAAATAGATACATTCTAATCTTCTGAAGAATGGTGTTTTATTTCTGTCTTTCTATCTGAGTCATAAATGCCCTCAGTGTAGCCTGAGGCCCCTAGATTGCCAGTGAGCAATTTTGACATGTCTTCCTAGGGAAGAGCTATCACACAACATCCTTTGGTTGGCCATGCAGCAATGACATTTTACACAATGGTGCATTTATTAAACCTGTCCACAGAGTAAAAGCAGAGTGTAGAAGAAGGCTGCTTGCTAGTTTCCTGACAAGTGACACAATTTAATCTTCTGGCCCTCGACACAATCATTTCTATTTCTTGACAGAATGGGAAAAAAAGTGTTATTTTCTTTAGGTCTATTGCTTCATTTATTACCTCTATGTCTACTTACAGGTAATAGTGCTTTTAAAAAGTCAAGAAATGTGCATGTTCCCTTCAACAGTAATATTAATTATGCTGAGATCGCACCCTACGGACAAGTTGACTAGAATGCATTTCCTATGTGTAAACGACAACATTGTCTCTGTTTACTGTCCTTGAACAATCATATTTTTTTTGTGACTTCATTGATATATAGTCATTAAGTCACCAATGACTTAAGATAAGAACACATAAAAAAGGAAAGGAAGGAAGAAAGGAGAGAAACAGAAAAGATAAAAAAAAAGATAATGACAAGGTTAATGACTAAATATTGATAATCATCTTAAAATGAAGGTTTCATATAACTAGGAGGTGGGGAAAACTAACTTAAATTCTAATTTTTGTCTGAAAATCACTACCACCAATTTGAACAAATAGAATAGCTTCCAGCATGGCAGTTTGAACAACACACTTTTAGGCAGTGTAAGGAAATTAAATATTTCCAGCAAGTGAAATACTGTCAGAGATCACTTCATTGATCGAGTACTCTCTACTTTGAAGTTCTGTGAATGTCTGTGACTACAAATGAAAACTTCATGGGTTGCCCTGTACAACATTTCAGTTTCTACCACAACTCAACTAATTATGACTTTCAAATAACTACACTTACGCCAAAATTTTCCATTCAAAAGTAGAGACTTTAGTGCCTTTAAAGTTAAGTCAA